CTTGGAAATCGCGCGCGCGCACGAGCGACGGCGCATGCAAGGCGAGTTCTGCATTGCAGAAGTGAAGAAAAAGGCACGTTGTCCTGGGGATCCAAGTGAAGCCTGAATGCGCGCCACCTTAGCTCCCAGCTTGACATGCGGTTTTCGCATGAGCCACCAGGCGGCGCCGTGCGGTGCCCTGTGCGCATTGCGTTATTTCCATGCGGCAGCACCCACAGGGCGCCGTACGGCGCCCCTGCGCTTGTGTGGGATGCCATCGTACCACTTCTCGTCTCTACTGCATGATAAAATCTCGCATGCTAGGCCCGGTCGCGCAAACGCTTTCAGAAAACAAACTCGTGCCGACGGGAAGACTCTGGCAGCGTTGCTGTGCTCACCTGCCTCTCTTTCGGCGCCCGACCGGGTCGCGCCACGCAGCCAGCTCGATCGCCGACCGCAGCATCCGACCTTCTGGACGGCACTCCTCAGCTGCACACGGAGGTCTGGAGGAGGGGGAGGAGGGGGAGGAGGAGGAGGAGGAGGAGGAGGAGGAGGAGGAGGAGGAGGAGGAGAAGGAGGAGGAGGGGGAGGAGGAGGAGGGGGAGGAGGAGGAGGGGAGGAGGAGGAGGGAGGAGGAGGGGGAGGAGGAGGAGGAGGAGGAGGAGGAGGCAACGCCCTGGGACGGCAGCCCTGGGCGGCGCCCGCGGGCGGCACTCGCGCGGTGCCCCATCGGCGGGGGGAAACAAAATGAAGTAACACTACTGACTACCCACCAATAAAGGGGCCCAATGACACACAAATAAATACACACAAATAAAATGATTCCCCATATTTTCCCATATTTTCTGGGTTTTTGTTTTCCCGCCCACTGCCCATATTTTCCCATATTTTCTGGGAAATCGAGGATTAATTGTGTCTGTGTGTTTCTTTTCCTCCTGAACCAAGCCACCCCAACCCAACCCGAAGACACGAATTTGACCCCGCATTTCGGGTTGGGGGGGTTACGGGTTCCACGTGTTTGCTCGATGTCCCCCGACCCCCCCCCCGCTGGAAATGGAGGGCAGATCGTGGCCTTCGAGCTGGGTTGGGGTGGTTTGGTGGGCGGTGAATTACGAGGCGAGCAAATGGACAACTCAAGTGTCGCACAACTGTGCCGTGGTCCTGCCATGATGCCAAGCCAGAGCGCTGTGTCAGAATAACCCCTCACAAAGTTCGGTCACAGTGTTCGGCTGTGAGCCGCCGTCTGACAGCCTTGGGAGGCGCAGAATCGAAGTACGCCTCAACGATTTACGACTTCGCGTGCGCGCGAATATGCCCTCACGCGCGCATGACATCCTGACGGCGCGCAGCACTGCGAGGCGTTGCGTTCATGTGGGGCCCGGTACGAACTGACAACGCACAAACACATGTCATGATGACATGGTACGTACGACTAATAAATCCGAAATCTCTGGCCCCTACAAGCGTGGGCGCGTTCGAACGATAGGTCGCGGTGATTCGCAGTTGGCGTCTTCGATAGCGTATCCAATGCCTATCGGCTAGGGGCGCTCCACATCGGTCGGAGTGCGTGGTCACATCGACTTGCGGGCCTGCTCACAGCGATCGGCGAGCGTATTATAAGCTTTGAGCAAGCAGGTTGCCGGCCAAGCAACGCAATCTGGCACTCGTCACAAAGCTGGACCTCCATCTGCTGCTGGAGCATCTCCCATGCCTGCTCCCTCCCTCCTCCTTCCACCTTCCTCGAATCCCCTACCACCTCCCTCGAATCTCCTCTCGATGCTGCTGGAACATGTGCTCCTCCCACTCCCTCTAACGTCCTGCCGCGCGGCTGCGCGCCCTCCTCGACAACAACCGACAGGGCGACTCGCGGGGAAAGCACGAGGAGTAGGGCTGATAACCACGTCGGGAAGGGAGGGATGGAGAACCCGCATAATGCTGATGACTACTTTTTCTGGCGAACAACTTTTGCTTGCAAGTTCGATGCCTCCGGAAGTTGATGCTGCCTACGCGGAGTAGGCAGCTGTGCCGCGATGACAAGCCAGCGGGTGGGACAAGGCTCACGATGGTCCAGGCTCGGAGCTTCAACGCTGTCCAGCCCGGCAAGGATATTACAGCACGGCCGAAAGGGGGCATTCCCTGCGACCAGCTTGTTATCCCGAACGTTAGGTCGGGCATGTCCCCCTACAAGCGGACTTTGGACGACAAATAAAGCATTGTCCAAAAATGCAATAAACTAAACAAAAATACTAGAAAAACCGTCCCCGTAGAGGGACATGCCCGACTTAACCCGAACGTCTCTTTGACGGTCGCAGGGTCCGGCCAGGGCCCCCCCCCAAGGCAACCCGCATAGAAAAACAAAAGGCCCTCTCCTTCCTGGACTCCTTTTCTCTGGAACACCTACGGCAAGTTCGCGTCGTGTCGAGCCCGGCGTTCTTCCCTTACACTGCGGGTTCAAACTTGAACGATCGGCCGTTCCGTGAACGCCGGATCCTTCAACGACGGGCCGATTCTGGGCCACGGGCGGCGTTCGACCATAAATGCACGCGCTGGGGTCGCCGCCGGTTGGCACGACGCGAACCTGCCGTAACTTCGCACCCTCGCGCCCTCCCGTCGGAGAAGGGCAGCCGCTCTGGCGAAGAGGAGGAGGAAGAGGAGGAGGAAGAGGAGGAAGAAGAGGAGGAGGAAGAGGAGGAGGACGAAGACATACCCACTGCTCCCTGGCCAGGCCCACCCTGAATTCAGCAGCGGTGTTTACGCCACGCCCTCCTGGCTTGGCCAGGAGGGCGATCGCGCAAGGTGGAACGACAGACGCGGAGTGAGAAACCAGCGCACAGGCCATCACGTCACCACAAGAAACCTTCCACAAGGAAGGAGGAAGAAGAAGAGGAGGAGAAGGACTAGTGTAAACGATATTGGAATTAACCCTCCCTCCAAGTTCCCTCTTCATGGGCCCCTACAACGGTTCATTTCCATTGAGGGAACTGCCTCGTTGGAATACAACCGTTTGAAGACCCTGGAGCATGCTAAAACAGTGCTCTCGGGATTTCAACGCCACATATCAACCTGACTGCTGCGTTTTGGCGGTCCGGAATCGTGCCATAACGTCACTTTTCGGATTTCAACAACACGAATCAACATAACTCTTGCACCCGCGTAATCCTGAATCCTTCCAAAACATAATCTTTGATACGCTGATCATGGGAATCAGTGAAGCTCTTGTACACGTTTGAAAAGAATGTGCGCTGGGCTAAGGCGAGAGCCACAGGTTGAAAACTAACCGCTCTCAGTCCGCGAAACTCTTGCAATTTTTACAAAGAATCTGCCCGGCGCTGAAACGAGAACCACATGTTGAAAACCATCCGCCCTCAATCCATGAAGCTCTTGTACATTTAAAAAAAACGACTGTGCGCGGCGCTAAAACGAGAACCACATGTCTAAAACCACCCGCCGTCAATCCGTGAAACTTTTGCAATTTGTTGCGAAGAATGCGCGCGGCGCTAAGGCGAGAGCCACATTATGAAAACGGCCCGCCCTCAATCCGTGAAGCTCTTGTAAGTTTAAAAACGACTGCGCGTTGCGCTAAGGCGAGAGCCACATTTTGAAAACCACCCACCGTCTATCCGTGAAATTCTTGCAAAGCTTGAAAACCAATTCGCGCGGCACTACAGCGAGAGCCACAAATTGAAAACGACACGCCCTCAACCCGTGAAGCCCTTGTACATTTGTAAAACGAATGTGCGCGACACTAATGCGAGAGCCACATTTTGAAAACGACCCGCCCTCAATCCGTGAAGCTCTTGCATTCGTTTACAACGAATGTGCGGCGCGGCTCTAAGGCGAGAACCACATGTTGAAAATCACCCGCCGTCAATCCGTGAAATCCTTGCAAATGTTGGAGCTAATGTGAAGGCCATTTTTTGAAAACCACCCGCCTTCAATCCGTGAAGTTCTTGTACACGTTTAAAAAGAATGTGTGCGGCGCTAATGCGAGAGCCACATTATTATTAATATTATTATTACTATTGTTATGTTTTTTGAAGAAAGAACATCCGCCCTCAATCCGTGAAGCTCTTGCATTTTTACAAAGAAGGTGCGCGGCGCTATGGCGAGAGCCACATTTTGAAAACCACCCGCCCTCCATCTGTGAAGCTCTTGTCATTTTTTAAAAGCTTCACAACCATAATTGGTGAGGAAGTCTCGGGCGAAACGCACGGCACGCCCTAAAAACTGGCCTCGGGGTGCGACACGGAGGAGTTATCTATAAGGAGAAGGAATGGAGGAGGAAGAGGAGGAGGGAGGAAGAGGAGAAGGAAGCCCCTGCCCACACCGCGACGCGCGAAGCACGATTCTCTTCGCGAGCCCTGCGGGCGACTCAGTCTTCCCCACGGCGAGGAGCGAAGCCGATCATACCTCCCAAGGGCTGGCCAATAAACTTCCCTCGGTAGGTGCCCCATGAGAACGCTGATTATAGTGGAAGCCAGTCCACAAGAAACCTTCCACAAGAAGCCCAACCCTGAGACCCCAGGACGTCCATTGACTTTTTGGTGTGGGAACGTCACGCTCTCCCTCGCAAAGCCACCGAAACCCAAGGAACCTAGGGCACCCTGGAGGCAAGCAGGGTGTTTCTTGGCATGGGCCCCACTGCATTGCAAAGATCAAAAAGGACAGCCTCGAGAAAAATGCCTTGTCTCGGAGGCGTGTTCCGCCATGACGAGTTCTTGCTGCCACCGCGGGCTGCGCAAATGCCCGGGCCTCTGGCGACTCGAGGAGGCGATCGCCGTCGTCGGCGTCGTAGGCTCTTCGCCATTCTCCGATCCTCCACATCTGCAGACCGCCTCTGGGTCCCGGGGCCGCCAAAACACCACTCGGGATAAGGATGACAAGCTGCGCGTGGTTGGGGTCGAGAGCCTCGGGGGCCAGCGAATCAAAAGATCGAGTCGTTGGAGAGCTGGGCAGGGCGGGGGAAGCGCAGGAGGGCGTGGGCGGACAGTGCGTCATGCAACCATCAGCACGCAGCATGCTTAGGTAGGACTCCTTCGGCTGGCCAACTCGCCAAGCAAGTCCGCCGCCGCTTGCTGCAGTTCTGGGCGTGAGGAATAACCGCGAGCTGCGAGCGTATCCGCACCTAGGATCCGGACATTCACACAGGTCCGCCGCTCTTCTCCTCTGTCGCCCCTCTCACTCTGATTGAGGCTCCTCCTTCCTGGGAGCGGGGAGGGGAGGATCGAGGTGGATCTGCTGAGTACCTGTCCTCCTCCGAATGACAATGCCCTCGAGGTCTCGACACCGAGGCGCGACCCCGTCGGTGCGCGATCCCGGAGCTGCTCCGCGCGGGGCATGCGCCCCAAGACCGCCCTGGAAACCAACGGGATCCCGCGGCCGATGGGGGCCTGGGCCGCAGGGGCGCGACGATGGGAATGCCTCCTGCCCGCGACGAGAGAAGAGACGGACAACGCAACTACTGGGCCTCATGTAATGCGGGATGACGATTAAAAAAATGGGAGAGAACGATTCTAACAAACATAGTTTTCTGCTGTTTCTGCACAAGTGTCTGACTGGAGGAGAACGATTAAACAAAAAAAGTGTTCCAGCCCGCGGCCAGTTCTTTCTAATCGTCATCCTGGGCGCCGCCGCGTGAACACGACCCCCGGTCATGTATTAATCGTCATCCTCCATTTCATAACCAGGATATGGAAGGACAACACTTGAGCTGCGATCGCTTACTCAGTCGCTGTTTTGCCGATCTGCGCGGCCCCTCGCGCCGCCCCCTCCTCCCCCCCCCACGAGCAGATCTTGGCCATTCTGGGCGCCTGCTCTGAGCAGGCGGAGTCTCCCCCGCAGGAAGCACCGCTGCAAATAGTCGCGCATCAAGCAGCGGTCCCAAGCCAGACCCCCCCCCTCCCCCCCTTTCCGCCCAATGCCGAAACGCGGCATAACAGAACGCTCACCATCGTGCAGGCGTGCGTGAGCGCGCGGGAAAGCAGACGCTCGACGTCGGTGGCGCTCGCAGGGGGGCAAGCGCGGGGAACGCCTCGGGCTGCTCAGAAAAAGAAACAAGGTCATAAACATAACTTTTGTTGGAGGCCTGGAAATGGGCACCAACACCATGACACGGGGCTGCCTCCACAGGGTGGAGACGATCCTAGAACTCGGTGTTGATGGTAATATTTCGGTCACCTTGGAAGCCAGAATATTACCACCATCACCGAGATCGGGATTCTCTTCCCCTGGTGGAGGAACGCCGCCGATCTTGGTGTTGGTGTCAACCTCTAGGCCTGCGATTTTGGCGCGTATGTCTCGGATCTTTGCCGGACCCCCCTCGCTGGCGCGCGGAGCGCGCCAGGGGCGTCGCCGGAGGCGCCCAGCGCGGGTCCAAGAGATCCGCGCGGAGCGCCAACGGCTTATGCTTCTGCAGTTGTTCTTCTGCGACTGCTGCCCCTCGGGAGCCCCAAATGCGGCCCCTGAGATGGCTCAGCTCAGCGATCTGGCCCCTGAGCGTCTCCATTGGCGTCCGTGGAGGCGAGGACGACTGAACTGATGGGTTTCGGTACGCAGGGACCCCGGAATTCTGCAGTCCAGTCTTCCCCGCCTCTCCAGTCGCCACGGAGGCGCTCCGGGGCCAGGTGGCTGGACTCAGGTCGGGCATGCCCCCCCACAGGCGGATCTGGGACGAAAAATGAAACATTCTCCAGAAATGTTCAAAACATGCCCCACGATACTAAAACAAGTGTCCCCAGACTATTTTGAAACGATTGTTCAATATCCCCCCTGTGGAGGGACAGGCCTGACCCGGACCCGGTGTCGGACCCGGTGTCGGATAGGTTGCGTTGGTTTGATTTTTTAGTTGTTTTGGGGGTCTCCCATGTTTTCTGACTCCGGCTAGGCTTTGCGTGGCCGGATTCTTCCGCACCTTTAACTACTTTCTCGGCCTCCGGCCGAGGGCGTCAAGGCATCATGAAGCCTGTCAGCCACATCATCCTTGAAGGCAGATCTGCCTTCAAGGAAGAAAGACTGGTCTACTCTGTAAGACCGGTTTTTTGAAGGCAGATCTGCCTCCAAAAAACCGTTCTTTTTGAAGGCAGATAGATCTGCCTTCAAAAAACCGTTCTCACAGAGTAGACCAGACTATTTTGAAACGATTTTTCAATATCCCCCCTGGTGGAGGGACAGGCCTGGCTTCACGCTGGACTGAAGGATCTCAGGGTGCGCACCCAGGTCTGGCGTCGACCTCCCGGCGCGCCGAGACGCCGGCCACGACGTCCCCAAGGCTTAGGTCGGGCGTGTCCTCCTGCTGACTACCTACCAGACCACCCCAACCCAACCCGAAGACCCGAATTGGGCCCCAATTTCGGGGTGGGGGGGGTACGGATCCCATGTGTTTTTTCAACGTTCCCCGACCCCCCCCCCCACTGGAAATCGAGGATAAATTTGGACCTTCGGGTTGGGTTGGGGTGGTTTGGTGGGTGGTGACCTGCTGGCGGACTGTGGCCGGAGAATGAAAAAAGAATAGCCCAAACGTATTCAAAAGCAGTCAGAAACAGTAAACCACAAATCGTCCCCAGACTACTATTTGACTATCTTTTACTGTTCCTCCTGTAGAGGGACAGGCCCCAATTTGAGTCGGGGTTGGGCTCTCGAAGTCCGTAGAGATACCGAACGATGTCAGGCTACGGCCCGCACCGGTCAGGTCGCTTGACGAGGAGGCGCGTGGTATGACTTGGCTTTGTCTGGAAGCCACAGCGGGATGGGCAATTCACGCTTTGACCTCTGGGACCCCAGTCGGGGATCTTCTGACCCGGGTCAATCCAGACCCGGGTCAGCAGGAAACCCAAAAACTGCAACGCAGAAAAAGAAGACTGCAACGCAGGTCTTCGCAAACCCGGGTCAGCCAATATGCGCGGCCGCCTCGCGGCCACGAGCGGCTCGCCAACCCGGGTCAACCAGAGGGGTCTTCGCAAGATCCTGCAGGATCCGGTGCCCTGGCTGACCCCCGTTGTTGGACGCCCGAAATGGGTACGGAAAAAATTGGTACAATGCCCATCCAAAAATGCTGCCCCAAACCTGCAGCGGCCGCTGTTGGGCAGGCGGCCTTCTGTCTCAAGCGGACACAGGCGGCGGCGGCGGCGCGGACAGCGAGCCCTGTTCAAAATGAACCAGATCCGCTGTTGGGCATTGTGCCCATTCTTTCCGTGCCCATTTTTGGGCGCCCGAGTTATCCGGGGTAACTCGGGTCCGGGGTAACTCGGGTTCGGGTTCCCGAAAAAGCGAACCCGAGTTATCCCTGACCCGAGTTACCCCTGATGATTCGGGGTTCTGGGCGCCCGAGTTATCCGGGGTAACTCGGGCCCGGGGCAACTCGGGTTCGGAATCCCGGAAAACGAACCCGAGTTATCCCTGACCCGAGTTACCCCTGATGATTCGGGGCTCTGACTTTCCGTGCCCATTTCGCCCGTGCAGACCGTTTGCACTGACCCCGTCTTTTAGGCGTCGACATGCCGGCGCGCCGAGAACGCCGACCACGCCGCAGCCCCGAGACGGTGGGGAGCTCGGCCCTTGTGATCGTCGGCCGGCGCCCGAGTGCGCCGCGGGCAGCGCGGCATCCTAGGGCGACGAGATCTGAGGACGGAGGAGGAGGAGGAGGAGGAGGAGGAGGAGGAGGAGGAGGAGGACGAGGAGGAGGAGGAGGAGGAGGAGGAGGAAAGGAGGAGGAGGAGAAGATGGAGGAGGAGGAAAGGAGGAGGAGGAGGAAAGGAGGAGGAGGACATATCCACTGCTCTCTGGCCAGGCCCACCCTGAATCCAGCAGCGGTGTATACGCTACGCCCTCCTGGCTTGGCCAGGAGGGCGATCGCTCAAGGCCGAACGGCAGACGCGGAGTGAGAAACCAGCGCACAAACCATCACGTCAGGAACCAGCCGTGGGCCACTTCAAAGAGCTTCCAGCAGGAAGGCGTATACGCGGCTCCTGGGCCCAGGAAAAGCCCGGCCAGGGGGCAGTGGATATGTATAGATTTCTCAGCCCGGCCCGAGATTCTCGCCCAGCGTAGACGAGGCGCTGCAGGTTTTTCCGAGCACCCGGCTCGACCTCCCGCACAGGGCCATCTCCCTCCCCGGGGCCCTGCAGCCGTGGCACACGATGCACTTTGAAGATGCGGCAAACTGGAACCAGAAGGCGGTCGCCAACGGTGGGACGCGTCGGGGCACACGATGCACAAATACGATACGAAACTCTCTGATGTGAAATCTGGCGGCACACGGTTTGTCGATGTGAAACTTCGTGGGGCGCCCACGAGTTCGGCTGGGGACGCTAGAGGCGCCAAGGGTTAAGAAGTTCATGCGGGGCAGAGCACACATGAAGGTGTCTTACTTGACGTGGCTACTGCTTCCCGTAGCTAGTCGTCGTCAAAAGACATAGCTCCCGTTCCCGCGAGCATTGTTTGTGCCTGCGAGCTCTCGCCCCCGATCCCTCCACAGTTAGCTGGGTTCTCCGAAGCTTCGCCTGGTGGCGCCCCGTGCGGTGGTTGGGTCCGCCGAGGTTTTCGCCTGCTGTCCACCCGTGGGCGTCTCGTAGAGGGGTAGGGGGGGGGGGGGAGAAGGAGGAGGAGGAGGAGGAGGAGGAGGAGGAAGAGGAGGAAAACCAGCGCTAGGCCGAATCGTGCAACCGTGGGGACGGGAGCACGGGCCTACATGACAGACTTAGTCGGGACATAGGGGGTACCGTTTTTCCGAGGGTGCTTCCCAGCCCGAACTGGCGCTACAGCATGGGTCTGCTTGTAGCGTGCTCCCTTGTCCTGCGAGGGTCCAAAACACTGCCCGTGCAGTGTGCAGTTGGCCACTTTGCCCAGCGAGACCTGGTACGAACCACATTGCGTGCAAACCATAGCCCATGGCGTCAAAAAAACCTGGTACCCCTGCATTTCAACGATCGTATCGGCTGGCACAAGCCTGTCGCCGAGAGGAGTGTCCCCGACATCGTTGGCCTGCACCTCCACAGCATCGCCCATATCATCGGCAAACTGGAGCGCCACAGAGACAGCCTAGGCCCTAGGAGCTCGCTGGAGCTCCGCATCGTT